TTAGGCATGAAGCCCAGCTGGGTGATCTTGGGCCCAGTCACTCTCTCTCAGTCCCAGGAAGCAGGCAAAGGCAACCACTTCCAAAATCTTGCCAAGAAAACTGCAGGGACTGTCCAGGCAGTCACCAGGAGCCAATACTGTCTCCAAGGAACATGTACACTAAACAAAACACTTCTACAAGTGTTTCACAAGCCCACCATATATATTCATACGGCTTTGGCTAAACAAAGTTCCACCATGGATTGCAATGTGAGGCCATCCTAGAAGGCTGCTGCATTCCAATCAGTGAGGTTGTTAACTTTACTGCAAAATGAAAAATAAAGTTGACTCTCTGAAGATATATACACACACACTTTTAAACTCCCTTCCTGCAGAGGCTCCAGATGAATGCATTAATGTAGAAGTTGACACTTGCTTGAAGAATATTGCAACAATCAAGCATTATGCTAAAAAATGCCCTTACAGCATCCCCCATCCAACTCCAGCTCCACTAACCTGCTCCTGAAGCTGCGCTTTATATTTTTCAGCTTCTTCAATGCAGATACTCTGAAGTTTTTCACACTCAGCTGTGTAGAACTGTTTCAACCGCTCTTCCAGTTCCAGTACATCACTTTGGTGCTGTTGGTTCAACTTCTGCACAAACCCTTCATAAGCTGCTTGTAATTCAGTTCGGTCCTTCTCCAATTTCTCACAGGCAGTGGTAGTAGTCACTTGATGTGACAAATAACAATAATTTCCTTTTACAATCAAGTAATTTTACAAACGCATCTTTCGGCTGTTTCAGTACTTTTTTCCAAAGAAGATACCTAACACAGTCATTTTAAAGAAAGCTGCCAGTGAGGAGAGAAATGGTATTATCTTTAATTTACAGAGGGTTAAAGATTTCCAGGCTTAATCCTAGTTTAAAGGGTTAGATAGCAGGTAATGGGAAATGCCTTGCTAGAAAACTTGAAAAGCTATTGCCAATCTAGGCTAGCAAATAAACAGTCATATAAATCAGATTCTCATTTCCAAATACACAGCATCTGTATCCAGAATAATACAATTGATTCAAAGACACATCTCAAAGAAAGCTTTAACAAGCAACAGGTTTTTCTAGCAAAGCTAGAAAACCTTTCCCAGTGCTATCAAGTTGCTAGAAACTGGATTTGGGACTTCTCCTTAGAAAGCACATGGTCTGTCTAAATGATGTTCTTGCCTTCTGGGGTCTGTTCAACTTCTCAGTAGCTTCCAGTACTATTGATCTGATCTTGGCAATAATTCTACTGCAATGGTCCCAGCCCTTGTTGCAGATGCAGAAACCAATGTTGGGGAACCCATCCATATGGGACACTGCAAGGCTCCAGTTCTTTCTCATACTCTTTTACATCTCTGTGAAACTGCTGGGAGAAATTACCAGGCCATGAAGGATAAGGATTTTTCAGTAGAAGCTGCTTACATTGTGAAAAAAATTTTTTTCCAGAAAATATGCAGCCCTGCTATTCAAAACTGTATGGGAGACTGCATGTATTTCCGATATATAACTTTGGTCTCTGGTGATTATTCTACACTGACAAAATTATATTTTAAGCTGTTCTTAATTCCAAACTTCTGGTTCAGCAGTAATGCTAAATATAATCCTATGGTTTAATATATGTCTATTACCAGGAGCCAAACATGCTTCAAAAGAGACTTAAAATAATCAGTTTGAAAAGACTTAATCTTGAATAGCAGCTTAAAATTTTTAAATAAATCACTTTAGTTAGGAACAAAATTACCCGCATGAAGTCTTAGCTATACATAGTAGGTTTAAAGTTTGTCTTTACTTTGACTTGAGTAATAAAGGCAAACAGCTTGGAGCTAAAACTCAGAAGGAGAAAGCCCTGTGTTCTCAAATTGGCTTATTCTATATTACAGAATTAAGATGACATCAGATCCTAGCTATAATGTGAAAGCCTCCTTTTCTTTCATTTTGTTACTAGAGAGTGAGTATAGAACGCCAGAAGTCAGTAAGTATGGCTAGCACACCTATTTCAGATAGCAAATTTATTTATTTTTATTTATTTACTTATTATTAAACTTGTATGTATGGACTGGCAATTTGCCACTTTGGGGTACAGGTGGTCCTTGTTTAATGACTACTTGTTCAACGACCATTTGAACTTCCAATGGCAATGAACGAGTGGCAGTTATGACCAGTTTTCAAAGTTCTGTCAGGATTGTGATCTAGGTGCTCAGCAACTGGCCCAGATTTCCCACCGTTGCAGTGTCCTGTAATCATGATTTGTGACCTTCGGCTTCCCACAAACAAAGTCAATGGGGAAGCCAGTAGGATGTTGGAAGTCATGATCATGTGAGGTCCTTGCTAACAATGGGGACTGCTGGAACTGCTGTCACTAAGAGGCGCAGTCATGCTTTATGACCGCATCGCTTAGTAACAGAAATTCCGGTCTCAATTACTGATGTTAAGCGAGGACTACCTGTTTTTTCACTTGTTAGGAATGGAGAACTGAGGCGCAACGTATCTTAAGATTTGCTAGCAAAATAAATTTACTCCCCTGGTGAGGCATTTTTCTAGACTACCTACTATCTATGTAGGTATCTTTTCAATGCCAAACAAGACTCCTTTATTTTTCTAGGTTTTGACCTATGAGGTTTTAATGCCGATTTAGACATTCTATCTTGGTATCATTTGTTATACTTCTTCTTTTATAACTTTTATTTTTAAACTGCTCCAAGCATTTGTTAAAGCATAGTTTATGTTTTGGAAAACTATTCTGGTAATTTGTTAAAAAGTATAGATAACGTAATATTAGTATCACTGCAATTGGTAATCTTTTAAAAGGAAAAAAAGAAAAAGAGAAAGTAAAAGAGGAAACAATTAAAAATAAATATAAAAGAGAAAATGCAATAATAGGAAACTATAGAGTTTGAAATTTCCTTCCTTTGTCCCCAACTGATAATTGCATCAACTTATTTATAAACATTGAAATGGTTTCTAATCACTTTCTTTACACTGATTGTTTCCCCCTTAAAAGCCACACTCTAAGTGTTTGCCTTGTTGTATGACATATGAAATATGGGGGAATCATTCTTGCTTAAATTTAGTCAAACTTTTGCCTGAATGTTTGTTCATGGAAAACTATTCTGGTAATTTCTTAAAAGAGAGCCAGTGTGGTGTAGTGGTTAAAGCATCAGGCTAGAAACCAGGAGACCATGAGTTCTAGTCCTGCCTTAGGCATGAAGTCAGCTGGGTGACCTCGGGCCAGTCACTGTCTCTCAGTCCTAGGAAGGAGGCAATGGCAAACAACTTCTGAAACCTTGCCAAGAAAACTACATGGACTAGTCCAGGCAGTCTCCAGGAGTCAACTCGAAGGGCACACATACACAATTTGTCAGAAGGGCAGAGATGTTTACTAAAATACAGAAACAGGGAATGCCATCCCTTATATTATAGTTACAAATCACATGATCAAGTTATGGCATTCTTAGTGCTAATCTAGTTGCTTATCCCTGGCTAATGTACTCTGACAACTTTCTGAAGCCCTCCCTAGTGAAGCCCAGATTTCACTCTATTAGTCTAGCAGAAGCCTTCAGGCTTAGAATGTCACTTGTATTTATCTTTGGAGCTCTTGTTTCATATTCTACCAAGAGAGATGTTGCAGTGAGATAAGGCAGTCTTTTGGGAAGCAATTCTCCAAACTTTTAAGTGACTGATATATTTTTATTCTGCTTTTCCTTTAGTTCAATTATTATTTATGGATTGTGCAATTGCCAAGTTTCTATGCTTTTCTGGGCTAAAATATAGTGTACACACACAAACACACACACTTTTATTGATAAGAACAAACATTTTAAAAGCTGCCTTGAATCTTTCCAATTTGGTAGCCATAGAAGTCTAATAAATAACAATATTTTTAATAAATTTAATAATGTTCCTTTGCCAAAGGCCAACTAAAGAAATGTCAGCCAAATGAATGTGATCTTAACCTAACCTCTTTTAACCTATTTAACCTATGTTAAATAATTTTTTCAGGGGATGGACACAATGTTCAGCTGTTCCTGACAAGCATAAATCAATAAAATTTCAACATCTAATCCAGGAAAATGATTACTGAGTGGAAATTACTATATATTCTCTTCAAATGAATACAGCAGATTTCTACAACATATTAGCTAACAAGCAACTGAATGTGTGTGTACAGTTCTGCTATTCAAGGAAAGGTGACAAGTGATGGCAACTGTTATTATTTAAACAGAAATGAGATGTGACCTCATATACCATCAGCGTTTCGAGGTAGACCAGTTCAGGAAAAGGACATGAGAAATACTAGGATTCTACTTTACAGGTGCAGGATATAACAACAGAATCTTGAGAACCTGACAGTGTTCACGCTTTCCAAATATTTCCTGCATATTTTCTTCAAGGCCTTCTTCCCTACTCCTCTACACAAATGGAGGGAGGGATATCTGATTTTTTTCCCAAATCTCTAGCTTGCTGACAGTGGCATAAAAATTGAACTTCTGCTTTCAGCATGACCTCAAAAGCTGAAGTTATTAGAATACATCAGCCAGATGTCCTAAACAGGAACAAATCTCAGTTAGGGCACCAAATGGTCTAGCGCTATAGAAGTTGAAAAACACCTGGAGGGCACTAGGCTGCCTGCCCCTGATTACTAGATATTATCAGAGACATCTGGAAGGGTGCAACTTCCTCAAGAGGAAAGGAAGTGGACGTGAAACAATTTCACCATTCTGGGATGCTTTCATATCTTTCCAAGATAAAATTTCATGCATGTTAAAGAATAAGGAGGACAATACAAAAGTTAAGGGTTTTTTTTAAAAAAAATATCTGGTACAAAAAGCTGGAATATGCTTATTTATTTCAGAAGGCACCAGTCCAGCCTTGAATAAGCTAAGTTGTTTGCAGGCCAAAAAGTTGAGTTGCGGGAATTCTTTTGCCTCTTCACCAGGGAAACAGAAAATATTACTTGGCTTAATAACCAGTCATCGTGGTTCCTAGCTATCTGCTCCATGAAGGCCTTTGGCATATGAAGAAGGGTTAGGAAAGGATGGGCTGCTTCTTTCATTTGCCATGGAAACTGAAAAAGAAAACATGACTATCACCTGCAGTTTGGAAAAGAGCCCTGTTGTTTCTTAGCTTTTCTAAACTAGAGAACAAATTAAAAAAAAAAAAAAGAGGAAGAAGGATATGTATCTGCTGGGTGACCTTTAGCTAGAGAAGCAAGGACATCTGGCTTGGCAAACCAATTTCAGGACAACTATCTGAAAAAAGTACATAAATCAACAGAGGTTTTTGAATCAGAAAGCCATATCCCAACTATAACTGATCTTAGCTGAGGATTTGATCATAGCATTTTGGGCCAATTAGAAGTGCTGACCGTTTTTTCAAGGAGGTTGCAAATGGAAAAAGCTATACTAGTCCGAATAGGATGCAGCTAAAATAGGCTTCACTGTAGACAGCTCACAGATCTCTTAGATGTTAGCCCAGCGAGGTAATCCAGACAAGAAGCACAACCAGGATACTAGCTCTATCTTTATTGTGAGATTACATTGACAGAATCTTGCAACACTGAAAGTATTTCTCCCTTCCTTTCCTTTTACTCTCTGGAAAACTAGGGAGGGTCCCTTCTGAAATATTTCCCACACCATCCTCCCTTCTGTGGGTTGAGACATCTTTTACAATGGAGCAAAAAAGTATTTAGTCAGC